ATTCCAGCACAAGGGGCGAAGGGGGTTCTTCACAGTAAGATCAGTTAGGGTCTGGAACTCACTGCCACAGGCGGTGATTTCAGCAAATAATGTGGAATTGTTCAAGAAACTTTTGGACGATTTCTTAAGGGACCGTAATATACAGGGGTACAGGTACTCCTAGAATGAGATCCTAATAGGTTGGACTTGATGGACTAATGTCTTTATTCAACCTCAAATACTATGTAACTATGTAAAGAGGAGAGCATAGAGAGGGAAGATGGAGAATAGAATCATTGGAGGAAGGGGGAAAGGGCAGGGTAGAGAAAGTTTCCTAGGGTAAGAGGCAATATCTAACTCTAAATATCCAAAGCCTTTCAAGACACTTAAAGGTCTGTTAATTAAAATTACTCTGTAAAGAGTAGGTGACCCAGGGTTCCCAAATGTTTTAAATCTAGGCATGTCTAATAGTTTCTAAAAGTTGAAAAGTTCTCATGAGAAATTGTCCAGAAAGTCTAGATTTAACTTCAACTAGAGTGAGTGAATTAGAGAGTCACGTTTTTGCAATAGTTTGATTTGTGGCTGTCATAAAAATAAATAAGTATTTTGTAAGGCCGTCCAGGTAACAAATTAAGCAGTGCCTCACTGGGATTCCTAGCTATACAAATTTGTAACTGAGCATGAAACATTGCGTAAACCTTTTTCCATAAATCTTGGGCAACTAGCTACAACCACCTTGTGTATAGAAAAAGTGCCCAGCTCTGAGCAGCCCCTAAAGCAATTTGAGTTTCCCACTATCATCAATCTAGTGACCACATAGCAACAAAGTAGCACCTTATGACTGGTTTCCTGTGCATTCATATTCTGGAAAGGTGATTTAATGATATTCCATATCTGAAATCACATATCAGGTTCCAAGGTAACACCAAGTTCAGTAGCCTATTTCATTATGTAGCTATGAGCTGGCATGAAGGATGCATGCAAAAGTACATTAAATAACTAAAAGATTGCACGCGTAGAGTCGAGATCTTTAGTGCACAGCTGTTTAAACGAGGAGAAAGTCATTCCAGTAGTGGGAGTTTCGACTGCAGGGGAAACAAAATGTTTAATTTGAAGATATGTGAAGATTTCGGAAATCAGGTGATTTATATTTCCACTTCAGTACAGGAAAGGCTGCCACTCCATCTTTTGTAAGAATTTATGGAGACGAATAATGTCAGCAGCAATCCAATGTCAGAATGCACTAGGTGATTCAAGGCCTGGGGGTAATGTAGGATTCTTAAGAAAGGAGTGCAGTGGCAAATGAGTAAATAGTGGGCCCCCAGAGTATTTTGTTGCATTCCACACCGTAAGAGAGTGACACACAACCGGAATTGGTAACATCGATCTATCCTTTGGGAGTAGCCAAAGCAAATTGTTCACATTGAGGGAGTCACAATCCATTGCTTTCAGGGCTACCCAAATTGGGGTAGATGAATCCTTGGTGAGGGTAACCAAGTGTGCTGTCTGGTAGTTTTTCCACCCATGGCCTTGAGCACTCTGAGAGCCGCATGTCCCAAAGTATCCAAGGGTGTCTGAGTAGGAATAGTGGCAGCCAGGCAGCGGTGGGTTAATAAAGCATGTGCAAAATCACTGGCACCGCGTAAGTGGTACACATGCAGAGCATGCAGTCTGGCACAATAGCTATAGGATCGCAGTCCATCACCTCTAGGGAGATCCACAGAGGTGTCTCCCAAGTTGCGTGGTATTTAGCGATAGTTAAGATTTAGCTGCAATTTGTGCAGCTTGAAAATATTTTTGGAGGTTCGGGACTCCCAATCCTCCTGCAGATCTGGATTGATACATGACCGTCCTGGGAAGACGTGATTTTTTATTGAACCATATAAATTTGATTATTTTGTGTTGGAGCCCCCTCATTTGCAAAGACTTTAAATATACTGTATCATCATCTACAGCAGGGCTCAAAATTTCAGGTCTTGAGCTACTAGCCAGGCCTTAAAAGTTACTTGCCACTAGGTGCCCTGTCTGAACCCACCCCATCTCATCCACCTTCCCTCCTTTAACATCGCCTCTCCCACCTTAAATTTCACCATTTAAAAAAAAACAGATAAAAATAAACCCAACAGACAAGTAAGCCCTCCTCACACTCAATATAGTGTGATTGATAAACCCTTTACTTAAGTACAGGGTCTGTAATGCTTTGGACTACAAATCCCAGAGACGTAAAGCTTATCCCAAGGACAAGGCCAAATGTCATAAGTTTAATTTCTATTTTATTGTCTGTTCTTGCTGTAAAGCTCAAGGAAACTGACCCAGTAGCATTAAAGTACTTTACTTGGCGAAAATGCTGCATATACAAACGTTGTTACAGGAAAAACAAACAAAAACAAAAACATAAATACAGGCTGCTACAAACAATCACATACACCCACTACACTATCCTTCTAGTACATGTAATGATTTCTAAGAGCGGAAACACTAAAATAGTATTTAGCTTCAAGGTGCAGATTCCGTAATGAACAGGACTTCTTGGCACTTAGGCGTTCGCAGGAAAATGGCTTCTCGTTGCAGTCTCTTGTGGCTAAGTCCTTTGTTTTAGACTCCGCCCTTGGTCAGAGTGATGTCCCTCTTGCCTCTTCTGACATACTCCCTGAAGTCCTTTTGTGAAGTCCTCCTGAACCTTTGGGCTGCTGGCTTTTATTCAGAGAAAATGGCATTCCCCCTTGTGGGTGTTGCCCCTCAAAACTTGTATAAAAGTGAAATACAATGTATTTCACTTCCCCACCTCTAGGTGGCAGCAAAGCATCAATAATTGCCATCAATAGTCAAGGTTGATTAAGTCTTGACCAATCTAGGTGTGATTGTTTACACAAGGCTTCCCCATAACACAATCCCATTGTGATACGAATAATGAGGAAACAATACAGGGCAGCCATACCATTGTCAAAAACCAGTTTGGTCTGTTTTGAAGGCACCTTCCATTGTGAGAAACCAGCTCTCTGTCAATAGCCAACCAGACGCTTTTGCAAACCCTGTGGGTGTCCGAAATACCCATTAGCAGTGCAACACAGGCTCCATCAACTCAGTTGTAATTCACTCCATAACATAACATACACACACAGCGCAACACACAACATATCACACAAACACAGGGCATTACACACACAGAGCAGAAGACACACAGCATAACAAACAAAAACAGCACAACACACAGGGAATAACACACACACACACAGCACAACACACGGCATATCACACACAGGGCATTATACACAAACAGAGCAGTAGACACACAGCATAACACACACAGCACAAACCACAGGGCATAATACACACTGCACAGCACACAGAGCATAACATACACAGCGCAACGCACAGGGCATAACACATACACACACAGCACAATGCACAGGGCATAATAGATACACACAGGACATAACACAAACACTAAGCACAACACACAGTGCACTGGGCATTATACAAACAGCACTACACAGCATTACACATTCACAGACTGCACAACGCACAGGGTACCCAGACCCATCTCCATGCCCCCCCATCTAATTACTTGCTGGCACTGCATAAGTAGCTCCCCTCTAGCACACGGTCAGTTAGCCCTCCCCTGGGTTTCTCATGTGTATTTCCCTGTTAAAGATGGCCTCATTGTGGCAGCCATCTTTAATAAGGTTTACAATGCGGCGGCCATCTTTAATAAGGTTCATAATGCGGCATCCATCTTTAAAATGGGCAAGGCACACGGAGGTGAGCTACGGCACACGGGAAGCCACCGCAAACTCATCCAGGAATCAGGCACTCAGTCTTTGACCATGAATTAATTTCCACTTGCCCCCAAGCAATTTTCACTTGCCAAGTGAAAGTGGAAAATTGGAGCCCTGATCTACAGTACATAATATCTAGAGGTGCACTGAAATGGAAATTTTAAAATCAAAACAAAACCGAAATTAAAGAAAATGTCAGGCCGAAACCGAAAATGTTTTTTATTTTTTCAATTTTTTTAAATATTTTATTTTTTTATAAACTTTTTAATTTTCTTATATTTATTTTTATTTCTTAATTCATTTTTTATTAAATATTTTTAACTTTACTTTTAGGGGCTTCGGGGAAATATTAGGGGTCT